TGGCCACATCCAGCCAAGGAGCCCAGCCTGGCGGGCTGCGCTTCGGAAAGCGCGGAGTTGGTGCCAAGGGCTGGATGATGGAGAAGCAGCCCGTTGGCCCCTAGGCAGGCTGGCAGGTGCTGGTGCTGTGTCTGCACACGTGGGCAGGGTATTTTCAGGCCAGACAAAACTTCCCTGGAATCTGGATTTTTCTGTGCATTGCAGCCGGGCACGTGCTTGCGGAGCGCAGCCTCTTGCTGTCTGTATGAACTCGTGACAACGTGGTGATGATGGCAGATGTCTCTGTGCTGTCCCAGGGACGCACCAGCCGAGGTTTCCCCATCCTCACTGCTGTTCCAGATGTGTCAGTTTTTCTTTTCCTGTAGTGACATCAGCCCCAGACGGAGAAGCGTCCAGCAGAGTTACTCTGTGGACCAGTTAGCTTAGCGTCCTGAGAGCGGCCAACAGACGCCCCTCCCGAGGCCCTCTCTGCCACTCTTTGCTCTCTCGGCACGGACATCTCATGAACTTTAACTGTTGGAGGGGGAAAAAAGACAGAAAATCTATCGAAACAGTGAATGACTTGAAATCCCACAACAGCTGCCCTGCAAATCTCAGTCTCTCTAACTCTGACTGATGGTGTCTGTTAAATTACATCCCAGAGAAAAAACGAGAGTGAGCAAGAGAAAGATTTATCTGCAAACCTGCGAGAAATTCTAATTAGAGAAGTGGACTGTCTCTTTCTAAAAACTCAGCAAAATGATATTAATTTCTCATTAGTCTTCCCAAACCCCCGGCAGCCTGCTCGAGCGCTTACTGAATCGAGACCCTCTCGGGGCGGTGTGGCTGTCGAGTTTTGATCAGCCCTCTGGGGCTGCGGTCGCGTCGGCGCTCGTGATGTCGGCGGGGCTGGCAGGAGCCGTCCTGGGGCGGGACGCTGTGGCGCGTGCGGCGCGGGAGAGTTCTTGCCCTCTGTGACGCAGCTGCGAGCGACAGCCGTGGCGTCGCCGTCTTGTGAATCCATACTGCACAGATTTTTATTTTTTTGTAATTAAAGATAATGCTAGGAGTTAATTTAGTATTTAAACCAAACGAGCTTTTTCCTTTCTTTTTTTTTCCCCCTCCCTGCGTATGCATATTCTAAACCTTTAAGAAGGGGTTGCCATCTACCGTGCAGACACATCTCAGAAAATGAATGCAGCGTTACTCTGCACCCAGCTTTTTCTTCCCTGAGCGACCCCTTTGGCAGTGCCCCTTTCCCCTCGGGGAAGGCTGACAGCCCTCTGGCCTGAGGTGTTGTCCCTGCGTGCCAGCTTTGAGGTGTTGCACCAGTGACACGGGACCAGCCTGCTCTGAAACCAGGCTGGTTGCTCCACAGCTGCGTGCTCGCACGGTCCCGGCTCTGTCGACCGCCCCGTGTCCTCACAGGGTGGGAGAGCCTGGAAGTCCCCCTCACCGAATCCGTAAGCGGGGTTTCCAGTGTATACCGGGTAATGGGACGTGAGGTCTCTTTCCAGTAAAGGTTTTTACGTGCCTTGAGGCGTTCTGGCCGAAGAGCAAGCAGTGGTGTGCTGTGCTGGGTGCCCTTCGCTGACGACAGGCTGAAAGATCGCGGGGGAATCTGAAACCAAATCGTGAACGTTGAGCTTTTAGGTATTTCCTACTCATTCAAGTCAACTATGCAAATCTAGTCATTGTAAAGGCAATAAGCAGAAAGGATGCCTATTTCTTTGAGGAATGACTGCCTAAGCTAGAATTTCCTTCTGAAGAAAGAGATGGTGCCTGTGACTCTGAGAGCTGGGGTAGGGGTACCACAAACTGCTGTGCTGGTAGAGAGCGTGGAGCCCTCCCCGAAAGGCAGGAGCACCTCTGAGCAATGACTCAATGTCACGTTGTGTCCTGATCAGCTTAAATTTTGGTCTATTAGAATAACCTATAGCTCCTTCCTGATGGAAGAGATTTCTCAAAATAGAAAATATTCTGTAGACACTCAGCCATCAGACCACGCTTCACGGTCGCTGCAGTCAGAGCAGTCTCATACCACCTCACCCTAGCTGCAATAGTTCAACTTTATACAACCTGTCGTGCTCTGGGACTGTCAGACTCTCCTTGGTGGGGCTGGGCTATGGGTATTGCTGGCTGGAATGACCCAAAGCTCTCGTGAAACTGAGTGGCAGCCAAAACATTGCGACAGGGAAAGGTCCATGGGCTGAAAGCTGAAACGCTGCATAAAAAAATGATGCTGCTCAGCCTGCACTGGCTGCGGGGCAGAAAGTGGCTTGTGCTGATGTTGGGAGAAGTTGGCCAATGTTTCAGAAGACAGAAGAAGAGCACGGGGTGTGTGGCAGCAGCGTGCTGCTCTTTCCCCGGCAGCTTGGTCCCCGGAGCAGCTCCCTGCCAGCTACAGAGACCAGCAGAGCTCAGCCTGGTGCGGCCTGCGCTGAGCCGTGCCCGCACTGTTGGCCCGGCATTTGGAGCGCGAGGAGGGCTGGAGGGCTCCGACCAAGAGCAGAAAGCTGGAGTTGGCCTCTTCTACCTCCCAGCTCGGCTGTCGTGATGGGCCAGTGCAGCTGCTCCGTGACAAGTCTGGGAGAGGACAGGCAGTGCTGTGGCTGCAGCCAAGGCTGAAGCCTGGCTGGGGAGCAAGGGTGGTCTGAAGGGACGCCCCGAGGGTGGCCTTCTCAAGGCCATAACTAGTGCCTGATATCTGGAGAACATGGGTCTCACCATTCCTGTAATATCTCACCTTCCTTCTCCTTTCTGCCTTCCAGACAATTCCTGGTCTTGGATTCCAAAGTTTTGTAACTTTAAGGAGTTCAGAAAACGTCACCACAGGCAGTACGAGGAGGCGACTGGGAACATGGTGCACATCAAACAGAAGCTGTACCATAACGGGCACCCTAGCCCGCGGCACCTCTGAGGAATGCCTTCCCCTCCAGAGACTGCAGCCAGGTTTTAAACAGGACTTTGCTCTTCTTCCAGGGGAACAGCTACTACTTTGCCCCTCTGTGGAAGCCAGCCGAGGACACAATTTTACTTCCCCATCCTGTGTGTCCCTGTGGCACACCACGATGCACAACTAAGCCAGTCCTGGATGCTACGCAGCCAAGACATTGCACTGTGTTCCACGTTTTATTGTCGGACTCGTGTATATATGTAAAAAGCAGACAAACAAAAACAAACGAAAAAAGAGAAAAGAGATTTGCATTCTACTTTCAACCCCCTTTTCCTGGCATTCACGGCTGTCCTGCGCATCCAGCTGCCCTCCGGGGAAGGTTGGCCAAGGGTACGGAGGTGGGACGACGTGAAGAAGATGCCGAGTTTCTCATCCAAGAGCTCACGCCCCCCATTTCTTTGGTCCTTTGGCTTGGTTTCGCTCTGCTCTGTTCCTTCCGTTGCTAGAATGGCTTGGCTGGTCGCAGGGTTGGGTGGGGTTGAAGTCTCCCTTTTGCTTTGGGTCACAGTTTTGGGAGTCGCTGCGGGGGAAGGAAGTCCTGGGAACGTAGAACCGATGTGTTCTTTGCGTTGCTGGACCCGGAAACCTGCCCTGAGCAAGCCGAGAGGTCTCAGCACCGGGGGAGCAGGGCTGCGGGGCGTCAGTCCCTTGAGCAGGGTGGGTGCCAGCTGGTTTGCAGCACGGTGGGACCCTGCTGCTGTCAGTGCTGTTCTTCTTCACTGATGCCAGCGAGGAGTTGGTCCTGATGTCTGGGGAGAAGGGTATGGAGCTGAATGATGTTAGATCTGACCTGCACCCTGATCGCACCCCTGTGCTGCATCACCACCACCCTCCCCTTGCCTTGAGGGACCAGGTGAGCCCGGGGCCCTGGTTAATCCCCCCCGAAACGCTGGTGATGCAGTGAGGGGGTCCCGTCGACGGTCCCGCTCCCCTTCCACGTCAGCAGCCGCTCATCTGCTTGTGTGGCTGCTCCGAGCTGGAGCAGCACCTCAGCAGCGGGCTGGGTTGGCTTGAGGAGCACGGAGAGCTGTGGGGCTGGAGCCAACCTCACCTACCGAACCAAACGTCCCGGTGATGAGCGGAATCAAAGTACGAGGATGCTCTAACGTGGTTTTGCCTTTGCTTCCCCCGGTCGCAGCGTAGACGTGGGTTTCAGGGTCGCTGCCAAGTGGCTGAAAGCAACCTCCATGTCCAGAGAGCTCCGTCACTTCCCGCCGGAGGTGCCGGAAGGAGCATTGCTGGGTAAAAGCCCTCTGCTCCCAGGCAGCGCGGTGGTTTCTGGTTCCTGCAGCAGCCACGTTCTGCTGGGGGAGAGCAATAAATGCGCCCAGCCAGTGTTGCTTTTGCAGATGCGGGGCAGCCGTAGCCCTGTTGGCTGCGGTGGGAAGAGATTTTTATTGAGAGGAATAAGGGAGGGAGACACCAGCCCCAAGAATTTAAGGTGGTAGCCCTGAACCCCGGTCGTTTCCCCTTCATTCATGATCCGAAACTGCTGTTTCCTTCTACAGATTCCTTGACTCTGTCAGTGGCCTCCTGTTGTTTGATTGCAAGGGGTGTGAAGGGAAAAGGACACCATGGCTGCCTGCTGTGGCTTTCATGTCTTGGGTTTTGGTTTTTTTCCATATTTTCCTATGCCCAGGATCAGTTCAGTTACTTACAAGCCCCAAAACTGGCCAAGAGCCAAACATCTCTGTTTCTTTGCCATTCCTACCTTTGCTATTCCCTGGTGCCTCTTGCCTTGGAGCCCCAGTTTCTATCTGGGCCGAAAGAATTGCCCCGTCTCTACTTCTGCCTGTCCGCTTGACTGTCCGTTGGTCAGGACTCCCATGGCTGTAATGTCTGCAGGCACCTGTTAGTATCTGCAGCACGACCTTTCCTCCAGCAGCTCCTCTCCACGACACACGGCTTTGCCCATGTGTTCGACCACATGGGCTCATCCCCAGGTGGCCTCGACGCTCGCTTCAGCGGCCGTTCCTGGCGCCGGGCCGGGCGGGAGCTGAGCAAAGAGCCGTTCTGTTGGCCGGCGTGTGACGGCAGAGCAGGATAGGTGCCGTGCTATAAACCGGGTACGTGTCACGGACACGTCTTCAGACGGGGCAGCGGTTTGCAGGGGAGAAAATCCCATCGTGATAGGGACAAAGCTCTGGAACTAGTTAAGGGGGGAAAAAAAGCACTTTAAATAATCTTTGCCCTGAACTTGGGCTGAATTGAGAGTCTGGTTCTGCCCTGCTCCAGTGACTGAGCTTAGCTGAAATATAAATGTACAGCTGGAAAGAGTAGTGAAGTGATGGCTCACGCTGCTGGAGTCTGAACCATGGCAGAATTTCCGAAGAAGATGAGGCTGTGGAAGAGGGGTAAAGAAATCCCACGTGGTGCATACCCCCATTGTAGAAGAACAGATGTTCTTTTTAATCTGCTGTGGCTGCAGCTATTACCCTGTGAGCCTATCTCTTGTTTACACTTAGTCAAACAATAAAACAAAAAATACTTTCAGTGCAATTAAATTTACTGGGAGTAACTGGCTTCAAACTGAAAGAGGGCAGATTTAGATTAGATAGAAGGAAGAAAGTCTTCACTCTGAGGGTGGTGAGGCACTGGCAGAGGTTGCCCAGAGGAGCTGGGGATGCCCCTTCCCTGGCAGGGTCCAAGGCCAGGTTGGATGGCACTCTGAGCCCCCTGGTCTGGTGGAAGATGTCCCTGCTGATGGCAGGGGGGTTGGATGAGCTGTAAGGTCCCTTCCAACCCAACCCAAACCAGTCTATGATTCTACGATAAGTCACTGCTCTTAAATCCAAGGAAACCAGAAGTACCCTCACAGAGTGAGGTTTGTCCCAGCACACACTAAACCAGTGGGATTCATCCTGAGGAACAGTCTAGACCGTTGATCCTCACCCTCAATAAATAAGGGGCGAAGCTCCTTCCCATGCAGTAAGGCCAGGTCCTGTTCTTGGTGCGTCTGCTGTGCAGGGGGGATTTCCAGCCACCAGCTGAACAGAGAGACGCGGTCAGGTTCCTGGTGCGAGGGGCCTTTTTCCTCCGAGTCCAGGAAGCTGCTGTCCTTCTGACCCTGCGTCGCAGAGCTCAGAACGTGCCGGTGGCTGGGCCTGGCCAGCCTCACCCACCCGGGAGGGCTGCGGTGGTGGGGGTGCCCTGCCCGGGTCCCACGTGCCATTCCATGCGGGGGGCTCTGCCGACGAGGACTGGTGTTCCCAACAGCCAAGGGTCTGCAGGGTCTCCTCTCTGGGGAGCGAGATGATGAGCCCTCCCCAGAAGCAGAAGGTCAAGGAGGCAGCTGTGGTTGAGCCCTGCAGAACCCAGCACCAGCGCTGCATTGCCCCACGCAGCACCCGCTCTCTCTCTGCTTGGCGTCAGCACTCTCGTCCCTGTCCCACCCCTCAGCTGCCTCTGCTCGAGGTGTGAGCCCTGCCAACAGTCTCTGGCTTTGTGGTCTCTTGTGCCTCTGTCCAAGTGAGGTTGCTACCGTCGCTCGCAGCTCCGTTGTCCATAAAGTCTGCCGTTGCGCTGTCTTCTTCTCCTGTGCCTGTGTTCGTTTCGCTTTTGTCTGGTTGTGGGGGTGTTTTCTCCTTGTTTAATTGTCTGAGACATACTAGTGTTGACTTCTTTGTTGTTCTCTTGCCTCTGATCCAGTCTTCACACACACAAAAAAACCAAACAAAAAAACCCACAGATGGAAACAACAACAAAACCCAAACCCAGCCACAACCCCAAAGAGAAAGGGTTCAGCTGGGAGAAAGTGACTTTGGCATCAGGGAGTTGACACAACAAGGTCAGGGCTAGGCAAGGTGCTGGGCAGAACCTGGGGAAGAGAGAAGACGGGGTTGCAAAGCTGGCAGGGGTGTCTGCGATGGCAGCTCCGCAGGGACGGAGGAGTGGGACGGGAGCCCCGTGCCTTAGCGCTCGCCCGGCAGATGCTTCGAGGGAGGCTTCTGCAGAATTTGATGGTGGGGGGAATCTTGTGCTGCCTCAGGAGGGGCTATTTTTAGAGCAGAGACAGAGCTTAAGACTGCATGTGCCAGTTCTCCCGAGCTGGGACTGGCACTGGCAGCATTCTCCTGTGTTCTTGGTGTGAGGAGCCCAGGTCCGGCTGCCCGCACACCACATGGGTGTGTGCTGGTGGTTGGGATCTGCTGCGAAGGAGAGGTGGGGAAAGAGGTGGAGGAAAGCAGAGGCTTGTGAAATCCATCCCATCAACCAGTAGCTCCCTTTTAAATCCAAGCAGCCACTTACCAGCACCGCCGAATAAACCCCTCGCCCCTCAGTGAGCTCCCTGAAGGCGGCAGAAAGCTCAGCCCATTCTGTGCCAACCTTCTCCCCGTTCTTACCACCTTCTTTCTTCTCAGGAGAGCCACGCCTCAAAGAGCGGGCACGTCAAGTTGGTTGTCTCCTCTGCTTTGCTCCCTATCTGGCATCTGTCCTTCCACCACATTCTGTGGCTCACACCAGCGTGGCCGTGGGGAAGGACGAAGTGCCAGGAGGCCAGAGGTGTAAGAAGCGCCGTGCCAGGGAGGGGCTAGCAGAGCTGCACATCGCGGCAGGACTGAGAGGAAAGGAAGAGCCCAAAGCCACCACAGATGGGATTTGGGGTGTAGCCCAGAGCAGACCCAGGTACTATGCATGCCTTCTTCAGCCTGCTGCTCTGATGCAACGAGAAGGACCCTGCCCCTTTGAGGAACAGCTTGGGAAGGTGTCTGCTGTGATGCCAGCCAGCCACCGTGCCCTCTGCTCAGCCAGTCCTTGAGCCGGGCAGGGACACAGCAGCTGGCCCACCCTGGCTGAAGTATCTGGCAGCACCTACCAACAAACAGCAAAAGACCAGAAGAGAGCCCAGAATGCACGTCCCAGGCATTCACAGCGCGGCGGGGTGGCTTTAGTTACTCTCACTGCTACTCTCTACCTCATTTTCCAGTTGCACTCAGCTGGGAGAAGAGAATCCCTGATAAAAA